TACAAGTGAGAAGTGTTTGTGTTTCATTGGTATGTTTTATTAATTCTCTCCATTTCTAAGATACAAGTGAGAAGTGTTTGTGTTTCATTGGTATGTTTTATTAATTCTCTCCATTTCTAAGATACAAGTGAGAAGTGTTTGTGTTTCATTGGTATGTTTTATTAATTCCCTCCATTTCTAAGATATAAGTGAGAAGTGTTTGTGTTTCATTGGTGTTTTTTATTAATTCTCTCCATTTCTAAGATATAAGTGAGAAGTGTTTGTGTTTCATTGGTATGTTTTATTAATTCTCTCCATTTCTAAGATATAAGTAAGTGTTTGTGTTTCATTGGTATGTTTTATTAATTCTCTCCGTTACTAAGATATAAGTGAGAAGTGTTTGTGTTTCATTATACTAAACAAAAAGTAACCTAATAAGAATCAAACAAACTTAACATCAATATACCAAACAAAAAGTAACCTAAATAAGAATCAAACAAACTTAACATCAATACACCAAACAAAAAGTAACCTAAATAAGAATCAAACAAACTTAACATCAATACATCAAACAAAAAGTAGCCTAAATAAGAATCAAACAAACTTAACATCAATACACCAAACAAAAAGTAACCTAAATAAGAATCAAACAAACTTAACATCAATACACCAAACAAAAAGTAACCTAAATAAGAATCAAACAAACTTAACATCAATACACCAAACAAAAAGTAGCCTAAATAAGGATCAAACAAACTTAACCAATCAATATATCAAACAAAAAGTAACCTAATAAGAATCAAACAAACTTAACCAATCAATATACCAAACAAAAAGTAACCTAAATAAGAATCAAACAAACTTAACATTAATATACCAAACAAAAAGTAACCTAAATAAGAATCAAACAAACTTAACATTAATATACCAAACAAAAATAACCTAAATAAGAATCAAACAAACTTAATCAATCAATATACCAAACAAAAAGTAACCTAAATAAGAATCAAACAAACTTAACATTAATATACCAAACAAAAAGTAACCTAAATAAGGATCAAACAAACTTAACCAATCAATATACCACACAAAAAGTAACCTAAATAAGAATCAAACAAACTTAACATCAATATGAAAACCAAGAGTCTAATCACATGATGTTAGTTTTATTATAGTGACAACAGTCTTTAATTTATTAAGTGGGAGGCTTGGACTAACAAAATAACCAAGTCTTCTCTATAAAAAAATAGCATCAAAATCCTGTCTCTTAAACAATGACCTATGATCTCTTTATTTTAAATATAGTTTGGGAAGTTCATAAATTAAGAACATCCTATTTATAATAAAGTTTTGGGACAAATTAAATGATAACCCATTCAAACCATCTCTAAACTTTATTAGTCTAAAAGTATGTTCCTTTTCATAAAATAGAATAAAAACAACACTTATCCTCACAGCTTGTGCTACAATCTTTGATGAAGCCCTGAGGTCATGAATTTGAATAAAACAACACTTATCCTCACAGCTTGTGCTACAATCTTTGATGAAGCCCTGAGGTCATGAATTTGAATAAAACAACACTTATCCTCACAGCTTGTGCTACAATCTTTGATGAAGCCCCGAGGTCATGAATTTGAATAAAACAACACTCACACTTACAGCTTGTGCTACAATCTTTGATGAAGCCCTGAGGTCATGAATTTGAATAAAACAACACTCACCCTTACAGCTTGTGCTACAGTTTTTGATGAAGCCCTGAGTCTTAAACCAAGAGCTTTGATATCTGGTTCTGCTCTCATCTGGACTCCATACTTTTTTTTGTCTGTTGTAACTGTTAACGTCTTGATGTTTACTTCCTGTAGAAAAACATAATGTAATACACTATTTACTTGCTGAACAAGAACAGAACTTAACACACTGTTTACTTGCTGTACAAGAATAGCACTTAATACACTGTTTACTTACTGTACAAGAACAGAACTTAATACACTGTCTACTTACTGTACAAGAACAGAACTTAATACACTGTCTACTTACTGTACAAGAACAGAACTTAATACACTGTCTACTTACTGTACAAGAACAGAACTTAATACACTGTCTACTTACTGTACAAGAACAGAACTTAATACACTGTCTACTTACTGTACAAGAACAGAACTTAATACACTGTCTACTTACTGTACAAGAACAGAACTTAATACACTGTCTACTTACTGTACAAGAACAGAACTTAATACACTGTCTACTTACTGTACAAGAACAGAACTTAATACACTGTTTACTTGCTGTACAAGAACAGAACTTAATACACAGTTTACTTGCTGTACTTAATGTACTAATCCATACATTAAAAGAAGCTGAACCTTACCTACTTAATGTACTTATCCATACATTAAAAGAAGCTCAACCGTACCTCCTTAATGTACTTATCAATACATTAAAAGCTCAACCTTACCTCCTTAATGTACTTATCAATACATTAAAAGAAGCTTAACCTTACCTCCTTAATGTACTTCTCCAGGGATTTAACATCTTCTAAATACTCAGTTTCCTTATGAATAATCACTAGTTCAGGTAGTGGGTACTGGAAAACATAGGTTTATACAAATAAATGGTAAGCCAAAATGCCCAGAAACCTTAGATTAATAAACAAATGTGTGTGAGGCTGTCAATTTATGCTTAGATTTCTCTCTAATCCTCTTTAAAAAAAAAAAGTCCAAACTGTTAGGTCATTTCACACATAAAATAAATCGCTGAAGAAGATGTAAGAACACAGGCAAGTTTCAATGAAAGTTGATAAAAATTGATACAACTAAGATACCAGGACCATATCGAACCAAGATGCCAGAGGAATATAAGCATTGAAAGACCATTTCATCTTTTCTGGGTATGTGAAGCCTTTAGAAACTGATATAATCTTGGTTCTGTAATGAACCTCACACAGAGTATACCCATACATAACACAGCCAACTGAGATTGATAATCAATAGTAGAGTCATGGCAACAATTGTAAACATATTTAATGAACGTTTTTACGATGGCAACAATTGTAAACATCTTTAATGAACGTTTTTACCACGGCAACAATTGTAAACATCTTTAATGAACGTTTTTACCACTACAACAATTGTAAACATTTTTAATGAACGTTTTTACCACGGCAACAATTGTAAACATGTTTAATGAAAGTTTTTACCACGGCAACAATTGTAAACATCTTTAATGAAAGTTTTTACCACTACAACAATTGTAAAAATCTTTAATGAACGTTTTTACAACGGCAACAATTGTAAACATCTTTAATGAACGTTTTTACAACGGCAACAATTGTAAACATCTTTAATGAACGTTTTTACCACGGCAACAATTGTAAACATCTTTAAAGAACGTTTTTACCACGGCAACAATTGTAAACATCTTTAATGAACGTTTTGGAATTGTAGATATTCCATCTTCACCAAATCTAAGAAAATAACAACCAGTTCATGAAGTGGGTACTGTAAGATGTAGGTTTATAACACAAACAGTTCATGAAGGAGGTACTGTAGCACGTAGGTTTATAACACAAACAGTTCAGTAAGTGGGTACTGTAACATGTAGGTTTATAACACAAACAGTTCATTAAATGGGTACTGTAACGTGTAGGTTCATAACACAAACAGTTCATTAAGTGGGTACTGTAAGATGTAGGTTTATAACACAAACAGTTCATGAAGGGGGGCACTGTAACATGTAGGTTTATAACACAAATTGTTCATGAAGAGGGCACTGTAATATGTAGGTTTATAACACAAACAGTTCATTAAGTGGGTACTGTAACATGTAGGTTTATAACACAACCAGTTCATGAAGGGGGCACTGTAACATGTAGGTTTATAACACAAACAGTTCATTGAGTGGGTACTGTAACGTGTAGGTTTATAACACAACCAGTTCAATAAATGGGTACTGTAACACGTAGGTTTATAACACAAACAGTTCATTGAGTGGGTACTGTAACGTGTAGGTTTATAACACAACCAGTTCAATAAATGGGTACTGTAACACGTAGGTTTATAACACAAACAGTTCATGAAGTGGGTACTGTAAGATGTAGGTTTATAACACAAACAGTTCATGAAGGGGGCACTGTAACATGTAGGTTCATAACACAAATTGTTCATGAAGGGGGCACTGTAACATGTAGGTTTATAACACAAACAGTTCATGAAGTGGGTACTGTAACATGTAGGTTTATAACACAACCAGTTCATGAAGTGGGTACTGTAAGATGTAGGTTTATAACACAAACAGTTCATGAAGGGGGCACTGTAACATGTAGGTTTATAACACAAATTGTTCATGAAGGGGGCACTGTAACATGTAGGTTTATAACACAAACAGTTCATTAAGTGGGCACTGTAACACATAGGTTTATAACACAACCAGTTCATTAAATAGGTACTGTAACATGTAGGTTTATAACACAAACAGTTCATTAAGTGGGTACTGTAACACGTAGGTTTATAACACAAACAGTTCATTAAGTGGGTACTGTAATGTGTAGGTTTATAACACAAACAGTTCATTAAATGGGTAGTGTAACGTGTAGGTTTATAACACAAACAGTTCATTAAATAGGTACTGTAACACGTAGGTTTATAACACAAACAGTTCATTAAATGAGTACTGTAACACGTAGGTTTATAACACAAATTGTTCTTTAAGTGGGTACTGTAGCACGTAGGTTTATAACACAAACAGTTCATTAAGTGGGTACTGTAACATGTAGGTTTATAACACAAACAGTTCATTAAATGGATACTGTAACACGTAGGTTTATAACACAAACAGTTCATTAAATGGGTACTGTAACACATAGGTTTATAACACAACCAGTTCATTAAATGGGTACTGTAACACGTAGGTTTATAACACAACCAGTTCATTAAATGGGTACTGTAGCACGTAGGTTTATAACCCAAATTGTTCATTAAGTGGGTACTGTAGCACGTAGGTTTATAACACAAACAGTTCATTAAATGGGTACTGTAACATGTAGGTTTATAACACAACCAGTTCATTAAATGGGTACTGTAACACGTAGGCTTATAACACAAACAGTTCATTAAGTGGGTACTGTAACGTGTAGGTTTATAACACAAACAGTTCATGAAGGGGGCACTGTAACACGTAGGTTTATAACACAAATTGTTCATTAAGTGGGTACTGTAACACATAGGTTTATAACACAAACAGGTCATTAAATGGGTACTGTAACGTGCAGGTTTATAACACAAACAGGTCATTAAATGGGTACTGTAACGTGCAGGTT